TCGTTTCGAAGTCCTCGTGGAGGAGAACACAAACCCACTTAGAGTTAGTTATATATACAACATATGTATATAATTATATATGTCCAAAGTTAGTAAAAATATAAATATTTATACTAAATTTTCCAATAATCCCCCACATGAATGGAGATCGATCCCTTCACATCCAATTTCCAAACGAAAATTTCAACAGTTGAATCCTGCATAGGATAGGTAGGTATTACCCTTTGAACCCTCCCTTAAGATATTACACTTAATCTCCTAGCAGATTGTAGATCTCGGTGTCTTTGAACTAAGCTGCCATTTATGTAGACGACAATGTAAATATCACAGGACTCTTCCTGACAAGTCCATATCCTCATAGACGTGTTCGTTTTGGTCATGAACACTAACCTGGTTCTACAAGAGCTTTAGGAATTGTGCCCCTATAATTCCCTTCGAAGCGACCCCACTTCTCTCTCACATAGGTGATTCCAAGAATCATTAAAAACCATATGTTTAGCCTAATTTTTTCACTACGTATAGGAATGGACTAGGAAGTAGTGTTAAATCTCCCTCACAGTGACCTGCCTCACTCATACAATTAGGTTCTCCTTTTGAACCCAGATCTTGGGATCTCCAGTCTTCTGAGTAAGGTTTCCTTCGTATGAATTTATTCATTAATGGGCTTTAGTCTCATTCCTCTTGATGACTTATAAACTACATCTCTACTCAAGCCTTTTGTAAGCGGATCCGCAATGTTATCTTTTGACTTTACCCAGTCAACCGTGATAACCCCCGTAGAGATTAATTGTCGTATCGTTTTATGTCTACGTCTAATGTGCCTTGATTTCCCATTATACATTGTACTTTGAGCTCTACCAATTGTCGATTGGTTATCACAATGTATACATATGGCCGTTACCGGCTTAGGCCATTTATGAATGTCCTCTACAAATTGACGTAGCCACTCCACCTCTTCAGCACAAATATCTAAGGCCATAAATTCAGATTCCATCGTGGATCTAGATATAACTGTTTGCTTAGATGATTTCCATGCTACAGCAGCACCTCCAAGTGTAAACACATATCCACTTGTAGACCTAGAATCTTTTATGTCAGATATCCAATTTGCATCTGTGTATCCTTCGATAACTGCTGGATGTATGCCATAATGCAATCCATATTCTCACGTGTATCTTACATACCTTAGCAACCTAGTAATACTCTTCCAGTGTTCATAACTGGGTTTACTTGTGTATCTACTTAGTCTGCTCACAGCATATGCTAAGTCAGGTCTGGTACAACTCATTAGATACATCAGACTGCCAATAATTCTTGAATATTCCACTTGATTAACACTTTCACCTCTATTTTTACGTAGATGTTGACTAGTGTCAATTGGAGTTCTAGCTATGCTAGTATCTCCCTTAGCAATTTTTTCAAGAATCTTATCCACATAGTGTGTTTGACTTAAAATCAAACCACTTTGGGTTCTTGTGATCTTGACTCCAAGAATCACATCTGCTAAACCCATGTCTTTCATGGCGAACCTGGATTTTAGCATATCTTTCGTAGATATTATTATCTTGTCATCACTCCTAATGATAAGCATATCATCAACATATAAACACAGGATGACATACCCATGAGTGGTGCTTTTCACATAGATACACTTATCACACTCATTGATTCTAAAGCCATTTTCCATCATCACTTGATCAAACTTTTGATGCCATTGTTTTGGAGCTTGTTTTAATCCATATAGAGACTTAACAAGTTTACAAACCTTGTTCTCCTGTCCCGAGGCAATGAAACCCTCAGGTTGCTCCATATAAATTTCTTCTTCCAACTCCCCATTTAGGAAAGCAGTTTTCACATCCATTTGATGAACTTGCAGGTTTCTAATAGCTGCAATGGAAAGAACTAATATAATGGATGTTATTCGCATCACTGGCGAATACGTATCAAAGTAATCTAGATCTTCCTTTTATCTATAACCTTTGATTACTAGTCTTGCCTTGTATTTATCAATACTGCCATCAGGTTTCATCTTTCTTTTAAAAATCTAGCGGTAACCCAGTGGCTTGCTACATGGAGGTAGATCCACTAGTTCCAACGTATGGTTTTGTAAGATAGATTCTAACTCATTTTTGATGGATTCTTTCCATTGAGGTCCCTTAGAAGAATTAACCGCCTCTTGGTAGGTTTTAGGTTCACTTTCCACCACATAGGTGTAAAAATCAACACCAAATGATTTTTCAACTCTAGCCCTCTTACTTCTTCTGAGTTCTATCTCTTCTTCCTAAGATTGAGCTTGTTCTTCTTCTCGAACAGCTTCGTTGTTTGGTAAAGATGGGCTTTCAACTTCCTTGTTCAAACAAGGAAACACATCTTCAAAGAATGAAGCATTCCTTGATTCCATTATGGTATTCTTGTGTATTTATGGATTCTTAGAATCATGCACAAGAAAACGGTAAGCACTACTACTTTGTGCATATCCAATGAATACACAATCCACTATTTTAGGTCCTAACTTTTGTACCTTAGGCGGTGGTACTACAACTTTAGCTAGGCACCCCCACACTCGTAAGTACTTATACGATGGCTTTCTTCCCATCCAAAGTTCATACGGTGTTTCTTTCTTTTCTTTGCGAGGTATCTTATTTAAAAGATAGTTAGCCGACAAAATAGCTTCCCCCCACATTGACTGGTTTACACTCGAACTTATTATCATGGCATTGACCATTTCTTTCAAGGTGCGGTTCTTTCTTTCAGCAATTCCATTGGTTGGAGGTGAATAGGGTGATGTGAATTCATGACG